AGAGGAGCTGCTGGGGCTCCCGCAGCCTCCGTGACCCTCAGCGACAGTCCCGCTGGTTTCACAGCCCGGAGTTGTGGGGACGTCTCTTCCCGGCCTGGAGCCCTGGGCTGGGGGCCTGTGTGGGCCTGGGACCCCTCACTCCTCTGGGAAACCCCCGCCACCGAGATTCCCTCCTGGGTTTACCTCGTGGCACCGGGTGTGGGCCCACAGCCCAGTCTCCAGGATTCAGCCCTGACCCACCGGCGTCTCCGCCCCTCCTCCCGGTCTCGGTGCTTCCTCAGCTCCCTGGCTGTGGGGCTTCTGTTCAGCCAGATCTCAGGAGGCTCTGATCGATGGTGGCTCTGTATTTTAGTTGTGATTCTGATGTGGTTGCGGGAGGCGGCTGGTATGGCTGTTACCTAAGCTGCCACCTTGTTGTGTCTAGGTCAATAAATAAACCATTTAAATGCAGAAATATATAAATAAAGTGTGGGAGTAAATTCAAACCAAATATTAGCATATGTTGATTGAGAGGCGAGACTGTAAGTGATGTATTTTATTTCATTTTACTTTTTAATATTTCTAAGTTTCCTAATGTGAAGATGCAATATTTTTTATAAATGAATTATAAAAAAAACAACACCACCTAGAGAAGTAAGGGGAGGAAGGCTAATTCTAGTACCAGAAATAGAGCACTGTTCTTGTCCCAGCTGCCCTCAGTGCTTCTGTTAATCCACCCCACGTCTAGCTAGGCCTGCATCTCCCTCACCCTCCTCTGTATGATCACAGTTAGAAACGCCAAAGGAAAACAGGTGGCATGTTAATAAGGATACAAGACACTGAGCCCTTGTTCTACATGCTTTACATGGGTTTATTTAATCTTCACGATGATTCTGTATTGTAGGTAGTAATGTCCCCGTTTTGACTGTAGGAACTGAGGCACAGATAGATCGATGAGCTTGCCCAGGCTCACACAGCTAATCTGGGATGCGGCCAGGCAGCCAGTGGAGTGATGGGAAACACCTCCAGCAAATCCTGCCATCCTAACTTGATGGAAGTCAGGGGGTGCAGGAGGTAGGACTCTGTCATTTGACCTGTTTCTGGCTTCCCCATTCCCTCATTCTGAGTCTTGAAGCTTTTGATGCCAAAAACGAGCTCTCTGTCCTTGGCTACACTGGGACTTGCCCTGTGGGTGATGGGGTCCACATTTTAAAATAACCAGGAGGGAGCACTCACCTTTGAGCATTCTTCAAGGCTGCTGTACACCATAAACCACCCCAAAGCTTAGCACTGGGAGAGTGGGCTCAGCCTGTCCCGAGAGCCTTTGGATGGGGTGGAGGAGGGGAGAACCCTAATTCTGCCCATGACCCTTTCTTTTGACCCTCTTTTTGCACCCTCCACACATCCTGCATCTGCGTTACTCCATCCCACTCTAACCTGTGTCTTATAGGATAGAGTAGAAGGTCATGGGTACATACCAACAAGGACACTCAAACAGAAGATAAACTTCATAGCAGCCCAGATCTTTCCCTGAGACATGCGGAGGAAGATCAGTAGAGTTTGGAACTTGGGCTCAGCCTTCTCCTTGAGAACACCTGGTGGGATCAGTGGATATGGTTAGGCTTGGGGGCACACGATGGCAACAGGATTGGAAAGTAGCTCCTGCCTTAAATCGGGGAGGAAGAGGGTTCCAGATGGACAAATGGAGGCCCTTCTGCTCCAGGGAAGGTGGAAGGCTGTACCTCTATTGGGATTTTTTAGGGAAGGAAAAAGAAGCCTAGTTCCTTAGACTTCTGGATCCAGGTTCCTCTATCTGCTGTTGCTAAAAGCTCATCTGACTAAAAGCAGTTCAGCTGCCCATGGGAAAGGGCGCTCTAGGCTCAGGGCTTATACTCCCCATGGAGTTTCTGAGGCTTAGACTGTGGGGGACAGGATTCTTTACCTTAGCTCAGGAAGACAGTGCCCCCAGGTTTGCTCTGGACCCCCTAGTAGTTACTTATACTTCCCCTTAGCCCCTCCCTTCTTTATTACACTAGCTTCATCTTTCTCTGTGATCACTATTTCATCACTGAGTCATCATGGCCAACTTGGGCTGGGCATCCTGATCAACAGCTTTGAGCTAAGGAAATGTAGAAATGAAGTGCATTCACATACAAGTTATTTTGACATTTGGGGAATGGTTTGAATTCTAGATTACATCAGGTCTGGGATCCACTATGTGTTGGTGATGTTAAGGAGGCAGGGCCTTTAAATGGTTTTTAACCTCATGAAAAGGTTTCTCAGCCACTCATAGATGGCCTCAGTCATCTTGGAATAATTGGGAGCACACTGTAACGAGAAAAAGAGGTGGCTACCACCCATCGAATGCTTACTGAGTCCTATGCACTGAACTAAATTCTTTACAGACATTGTTAGTGGTGATTTTGTATTAAGTTAGTCTAATATGATGTAAATTAATTATATTTTGTATCACTACAACTGTTTACATTTTCTTAAATCCATAATCTCATTCCAATGTCACAACAACACTGGAGAGAAGACACAGGGCTGGGCTGGTATTTTCTTTTTGGAGCTGTAGGTGACAGAACTGAAATGGAGAATTTTAAGTAATTTTTTCAAAATCCCACATGCCTGGAAAGACTGGAGGTAGAATCTGGGTCCTACTGGACAGGCACAGCTTTTCAATCAAATCCTCTAGGCTGCAGCCAATCAACCAGCATTCATGGATCTTGGAAAATATTCCCTCATACAAAGTCCCTCAAGTGTGAAATGAAAAGCAGACACGGCCCATACTTTCCTGAATGTGACAATGAACACAGAGGTGCATTGTGGAGTAGGGCTGGTCTATGAGGCACAGGGCAGGAAAAAAGTAGGTTTACAGTTGTTTGTATGGAAAATAATACAATAATTAATAAGTAGTGCCTGGCCAGCATAGCTCAGTGATTGAGCATCAACCTATGAACCAGGAGATCATGGTTCGATTCCCGGTCAGGGCACATGCCCGGGTTGTGGGCTTGATCCCCCGTAGGGGTCGTGCAGGAGGCAGCCGATCAATGACTCTCATCATTGATGTTTCTCTCTCTCTCTCCCCTCCCTTCCTCTCTCTGAAATCAATAAAAATATATTTAAAGAAAAGAATAAATAGTAATACAAGAATAAACTTTGTGTTTCGTGCACTCACAACTGTAAATCTACGTTTGCCCCACCTTGTATACTGTGGTTCAAAGACAGCATGGAGCTGTGGAAGGTTTTCTGTGGTGGGGGGTGGGATTAGCTAACACAAAAGTTGAGAAAGTGTTGTACTTGGCTCTGAAGTTGTTTTTCCCAGATCTTTTGAAATACTATGGGCCAGGAAGGGAGTTTGAGGCCTGGTTTGGGAGTGTGAGTGCCAAGAGCAGAAAGGCCATTTCGCTATCTAGGAAGAGATCTCTGAGGACAACAGATTTTCTGGAGGACGTTGGCACTGAGGACTACTGCCTGTCTATGAGCTCGGAGTCGGTGTCACTTGCCTAGGCCTCCAGTCCCACATCTTCAGATGCCTCTTAGGAGCCGTTGTTGGCGTCTTCCTCAGGCCCCTGAAGTTTAGCATGTTAAAAGGACACTCCTCACTCCTCCAGCCTCTCAGATTTATTCTCTCACCTGTTTTCCTTACTTTGGGAGATAAACCTACCTTCCACTTGTTTGATTTCTCTCTTTTTCTCACCGCTCAGTCCCAAAGTCCATCTTACTTTGAGGGATCTCTAAAATCCTTCTGTATCTCTCCATTCTCGCTGCTGTCATCCTCATCGAGGCCATAACTGTCTCACACCAACTAATGTGTGTGCCCGTCCACTGTTGCTCAGATGATACTTTCTCTCTGACTCGGAACTGTTTTTTCTCTAAAATGCAAAGGAGATCATATCAGCCTTCTTCTTAAAACTCTTCAGTGGTTCCCTGCTGCCCAGGAAGAAACTCGGAGCATGGCCTAGGGACCTCCCTTGATCTTGTCTTTGTCACTCTTCTCACCCCGTCTTCGACACCCTCTCCCATCTGCCCACCCCACATACTTTTTACAAGGCCTACCATACTTGTGTGGATTTTCTTGTTTTATTACTAATAACTCTTTGTATTACTTTAGCCCTTGAACTCTCCCGTTAGTTCATCAATCCCATTCATTTCCCCCCTCTTTGTTTTGGGTTACCTATAGCTGGCACGGCCACTGCGCTTAAGGCTTCTCTTCGATAAAATAACTTTAGAATCTTACCGATGGATGGGTGATGATGATGATGTGAGTGTGTGTGTGATATTCAACATTTCCTTGTATGTTTGTAAATTAGTGGTTAAATTCCTTTTTTTTTTTTTTAAATGTATCTTTATTGATTTCAGAGAGAGGAAAGGAGAGGGAGAGAGAGATAGGAACATCAATGATGAGAGTGTCATTGATCGGCTGCCTCCTGCACGCCCCCGGCTGGGGATCGAGCCCACAACCCGGGCATGTGCCCTGACTGGGAATTGAACCCCAATCCCCTGGGTCCTAGGTCCATGCTCAACCTCTGAGCCACGCCCAGCCAGGCTAGCAGTTAAGTTCTTTATCTGTTAGTGTTGTTATAGACTCTGTATACATATGGAGACATATCTGTCCCCAGCTTCATTCCACAGAATATCTCACATTTATAGGACTCTAAATTCATTATTGTTTCATTCTACCACCTGATTTCCTGTTTAAGTAATACTCTTGTTACACTTTGCCACCAAAAATAAATTTGAAAAAGGCAGCTAGAGAGAAAGCTGAGAGAGAGAATGCGTGCAGGTGAGCGTGTGCAGGCCATGCCCGAGAGGGCAGTGTAGTCAGAACAGATCGAAAGGTCCGCCAGGAACCACTGGCATATGTGCTGGTTGGCAACTTTTATTCAAATGATGCCTGTGGTTACATGGTATGAATCCAGCACAAGGGAAGCCCCCTCAGGGAGGGGCGGGCTGAGTGTGACATATGCATAAAGGGGAGGGGAGTCAGTGTCACACAGGGGGGTGGGGACAGCTGTGCTCCCTCAGAGTGGCCCAGAACCGAGAGGGCTCAATGGGACATGTAGAGGGAGAGGTGCAGGACACACATTGTGGGGAATGAACTGGTGAAAAGAACCAAGAGGCAAGGGAAGGAACTGGGGATGAATTGTAACTCCACCGAAGGTTGACGTGACTCCTACTTTGGAACTCTTTCCCCTAGATGAGCGGATAAAGCTCAGATCCCAGGAACTCATCGTCTCATAGGGCTGAGTTTTGCTTAGACTGAGATTCCCATGGCTACTGTCCTGGCTCACGCTGAGGCCTAAGACGGGAAGTAGAGCCCTCTAGACCACAGACCTCTGTAGAACCCTCAACCCTGTTCGATCCCCTGCATCCCTTCCAGCTGAGTCCCCGCGCAGGCTGTAAGTTCTGGCCCTGCGTTGTGTCTGTTGGTTCCCACTACATCCTTCAGAGCAGGCTCCAGGCAGCAACATGAAGTGTGTCCTGTTAACCTTGCTGATGGTGACTGGTGAGTGGCTGTCAAGTTGTGTAGGACTCTGTTGGGGGGTGAGGCTCGGAGCTTGTTGGAGGGGGCAAGCTGGTGGATCAGGGACATGGAAGTCTGGGAAGTCGGTGATAGACTGACTAGTCATTTTCTGCACAGGCTCAGCCACTTGTTGTACCTACTGGAACCCTTTTATTATGGGCTCAAAACCTCCTCTGAACGTCTGATACCTACTTGGGCTGAAACATTTGAGGGAGGCAAGCCAGAGGGAAGGTGGAGAGAGGATCATGGAAGGGAGCATAGGGGTTTATAAAAGACATAAAGAGCAAAGACAGCAGGTATTTTGCTGTAAGGTTCAAAAGGAAAAAGTAGATCTTGTTCTTTGGACTTTAAAACATAATGTATAATAATAATAATAATCACCACCACCACCATAAAAAGCATATACTTATATATAATAGATACTGCCCTGATTTCTACATATTAACTCATTTAATTCTTATTACAACTTTATGAGATAAGTATTATTGCTCTCATTTTGTTGTTGAGGAAACTGAGGCACAGAACAGTTAAGTATCTCGCCCATAATGATATTAGACTGGCTCTGTAACTAGGCAATAACACTCTCCTACTTCATAGTTAAGTGGCTTTGGACAAATACCCTAGCCTCTCTGAACCTCAGTTTTCTTACATGAAACATGAGAAATATCATGTCTTTCACTTAATGATATGTCATGCTTCCTAAACCTGTAACAGACTGAGTGTAGTTAACCAAGTTATGTGTCGGGGGGTGGGGGCGTGCGTGAGTAGGTCATTCACACAGAAGAATCAGCAAGCGTGCAGGTCGTGAGGTGTGACGTGTTTAACCAAAAGACCACCTGTGTGGCTGAAGGCTAGGAGGCTTGGTTTTAGGAAAGATCCTGGATGTGAGAGAAAGCCTTTAAAGAATTTTAAATATGGGAGTTACGTGACATTTATGATTTGAAAAGATTCATGTAACTTCACTCAGCATAATCCTCTTGAG